GGTGTTGAGTTTAGTTTGGTTTGGTACAAGGTCGATAACGAAAGTTTGATGGATTTATTGCTTAATGCCATAACTGCCTTTTTTTGATACCGGGGGCAAAGGAGCAGACGTGTGTCCTGATGGAAAGTGACTACCGTCGTCCATTAACGCCTGCAACTCAGGAGTCAGAAGCGGGTTGCCGACCTTTGAGGGAGGAGTTCGCTTTTTTCTTGAAGGTTCGAAAGTCCTATCAGTACGGAAATTAAATTAAATATGTCTTGACGAACTTAAATTTTATTAGAAGGGTTTAATTTTCAAAGTTTTCCAGAGGTTGCAGGTTCGATTGCCGTGAATGGTAAACATTTGCATTCTTGATGCACTTCAATATTTGCATTGATGAAATATTTGAAAATATTTAGAAAAAAAAATATTGATTATTCGTGTGCTAGATCTCAAATTACTGCGAATACTTAATTTGGCTCTTAATAGCATTGGATAACAAAAACTGTTAACGCCTGATAGTCATCACAACCTAATATTATGTTGGTTTGTGTAGGCGCTTCGAAGTATGACAGTACTTAAAAATAACAGATTTTTTGAGAAAGGAAAAAAAAACTACCTACTATTGTGCACTTCCACTTGCTATTCTTATTTCAATACGAACGAATTGTGAACATTACTGTAATAAAACGAATATTTACATTAAAATCAATTATCTTCGCTACTTATCATCGTTTTATTGAGCGTCAAGGCTCCAGTGTCTTGAGAAAAGACAACAAAAACACAACATATTTAACAGCTTACCAACTAATAATTTACTCTGCATAATATTTTATGATTAAAATCGTAAATTTCCGCCGCTCGGCAAATGACTATATCTCATTCAAATGTTCATTTAAGTGAATATGTAATTCTTTATGAGAATAAAGTTTCTGAAACTCGAATTTAGAACACGTCATAAAAACTAACAAGCCTTCAGACCACATCACATCAAGAGCTTTTAATAGTCGGACATAAGCCTCTCCTTGGGAAGGAGGTCTTAGCCTACCATCCAACGCTGGCCAGACGGGTTCATCATCATCATCATCAGCCTATCGCAGTCCACTGCTGGACATAGGCCTCTCCCAGTGCACGCTACTTAGATCGATTTTTGGATTCTTCTTTTCTTAGACGGGTTGGTAAGTTACAAGTCTTAACAGTTACTAATTATTTGCTAAATAGTTAGCTAAATTTATTATATAATTATGTTACATCTAAATATTAAAAAGAAAGCAGGGCGCAGCAGAATTCACCCTTAAATCAAATACACTCGACTGGATGTACCTACGACAGAAAAGATCTTAAAATTTTTTAGGTCGCGTCCTTTACGATCAGCAAAGTGTCCCCTAGCCGATAGATCAATACATATGACACGTCCTTTTATGTAGCTGTCTGTCTGTTTTCATACAGATGTCAGTTGCCGCTCGACTTCGCTATTGCGAGGGTCAATCAAATTTTGTTACGATTATATTATTAAATTATTCCGAGTCTAACTTTTTTTGTGTCTGTGTTGCGGAACACTTTACAAAGACAGTTATGTTAAAATGACTGGGGAGCGTTATTACGAGTAATTAATATTACTCGTAATAACGCTATAATAATAAATACATAATAATACTAATGTATTCCAGTCCTAAAGTAACCAATAGCAGAATTATAATACAACACGATTGTTATTCTACAACACTCAATTTTTTCATCGGGATAATACTTATTTATTAAAAAATGGAAGGCTAATAAACCCATGAAAACTAAAAAAAAAATTGTGGTCATATAGAATATCCTCCTTAATTGATTTCACGGAGACGCTCTGAATTGTACTTTGTTTTCTTATCAATTTAAGGATCCTTTTTATTAGAAAAATGGTCTCAAGAGCGGTCTGTTAGTTAAAAAAGAGAGCAAAAGTCCGGAATCTTTGAGAGTTAAACACTTAAAAATAAACTACTCTGACTATAGAACGCTAACTACTTAAAATTATACGTTATCTACATCTCTATAGTATCTCTGCCTCTGCCGCTCCCCACAGGTGACACGAGGGTGTATCGAGGCCCTACCGCGGACCCGCAAATTGAGATAGTAAGTACAGACAACATAAAAAGTTTGAGCAAATCCAATTTATTAACACGTGAGAATGTTATTTGTTTAGAAATTGTGTTATGTTTGTTATATTCGTGCTACACAGTATATTTTTGAAACGAAGTTCCTTATCGCGCGTTGTGAAAGGGGGCTAGACGGAAAAAAAAAACACGAAAAGTTGTGACGACACTTTTTATTTTGAATTGTCACTTGTCAGTCATTCAGCGCCATCTATCGAATAGATAGGAAATCATTACTTTTCATCTCAGTAAAATTAAAATTTAAGTTCTTAGGTTGAGCAAAAAATATTGTATTCGACATCATTTCTCAAGGAGATTTTACCAATGTATAAATGGTTTTAATTAGAAATCAACTGAAAAATATGTAGGTAATAGCCGCTTTCATAGATTGCGTTGTAATTAAAATCGTGTCGAATCAGTTTTACTCGATCGTCATAACTTCGTTCCTATCGGGTGTCCCACGACATCACACGGTTTTTTTTACTTTTTACGTTTTTTTTTGTGTATTTCTCAGGCGGGGAACTGCCTTCCTCCGAGCCTTTTTCTTAAACTAGGTTGGGGTCGGCTTTTAAATCTACCACGATACGGCTGAACTTCGATTTTTTTAAAGCGGAGCGACTGCCACCAGACCTCCACAATCAAAGTACTAGGCGATATCGAAGTTCTATAGAAAAAACTGTTGACGGACTTTTTAGTAGCAACGACGACGAGCAAATGTGCTCTCCGAGGCTATCTCTGACGTGGACCTGATGGAAACTATTTAAAATTGATAATTCACGAGTGGAATTCAAAGACATACGGACAGACTCCTCCAGAATCTAGGGGGAGAGGGAATTTAAGGGCGGCAACTCACTCTGTGACTCTTGAGTTATAGGTGTTTATGAGCGCCGGTAGTCACTAACCATCAGGTAACCTATCTGCTCATTTGATCCCTAAGCCATAAAAAACTCAGATTCATATGAACTAATGAGCCGGAGGTCGGATGTAATTTATCTACAACATGATTGTTTTTATAAATAGGTTAGTGAATATCAGCAGCCTGATTACCATAGTACAGGTTTTTATAAGTTTAGTAGCAGACGGCGGATTATATCTATACTAATATTATAAAGCTGAAGAGTTTGTTTGTTTGTTTGAAAGCGCTAATCTCAGGAACTACTGGTCCGATTTGAAAAATTATTTCAGTGTTAGATAGCCCATTTATCGAGGAAGGCTATAGGCTATATATCATCACGCTAAGACCAATAGGAGCGGAGCACCAATGAAGAATGTTTCAAAAACGGAGAAAATTCATTACTATTGAGAGACGCAGACGAAGTTGCGCGGGTCAGCTAGTGAATGTATAACGCTCTTTCAAGTAATAAGGGATTTCTAAACACGGTGTCTCTTGTATTAATTGTTTTTATGTTAGAGGGGACAGACGAGCAGACGGATCACCTGATGGAAAGTGACCATCGCCGCCCATGAACGTCTGCAACTCAGGAGTCACAAACGCGTTGCCAGCCTCATTCTGGACGGCAGAATTCGATAGGCAAAACTGAAACTGATCAAGTGATAACAACAGCGCTTTAGTATTAAGAGGTGGAAGAGCATATTTATTCGTTTCGCAAAAGGTTATAACTTTAGGTAACATTCTGTACACCGATCGTTCATAATCTGCATTAACATACAGAATACTTTTTAGCATAGTAAAATTATTCTAAACGGCTGAAGTCATTTTCAGAGCGTAGTAATCCCTGCTAATATTATTAACGCGAAAGTAACTCTTTGTCTGTTACGCTTTCACGGCTAAACCTCTGAACCGATTTTAATAAAATTGGGCATGGATATGGAAGGAAGGTCCTTAATTAAGGCCCAAGGCTAATTTTTACCGCGGTAACCAACACACACGCGGGCGGAGTCACGGGCAAAGCTAGTACGAGTATAAATAGAGCATCATGACAGACATGGCGGGTGTAAAGCGAACGCAAAAATACACGTCTAACACATTTAATAATGTACTTTCAAAGTTATGATGTGGAATTTTTTCTGCTGTCTGTACATAGCTAGGTTCAGTAATGTGGTATATTAACCTAATTTGTGCGTTGTCTCCATCAATTTAGTACGGAAATAAGATTGTGGTTGTACATAAACATGTGTGTTGATAATGTTCTGGCATGTTCTGAATATGATATTATATTCTTCTTCTATTATTATTTTTCTCTTTATGTCATTAAATGTACATAATATAAATTACAGTTTTAAATATATTTATGTACAAAAAAAAAACAAAATGCATTTAAAAAATGTAAAATAGTGTCCCATCAGTTTCAGGTACAGGGACCAAGATATCGGTGGTTTGGATTCCAGAGACATAGAACAAGACATTTATAAAACTTAAGAAACGATATATAGGTATACGAACACAGCTTCTTTGAGTCTCTTTTTTATGGTAAAGGGGGCAAACGAGCAGACGGGTCACCTGATGGTAAGTGACTACCACCGCCCATGTACTCCTGTGACTCAATAATCACAAGTCAGATCATTTGGGATCCGATACTCTCACTCACTCGGTGAAAAGTATCGGAAGAATTGCTTAACCAGTGCTAAGCAGTTACAGAAAACCGGTGTTTTCTGTAAAGCCGTATATCACTCCAGTCGAGCCGGCACATTTGTGCTTCAACATGGCTCTCCCAAAAAATCTGAGGAGCCTCAGTCACATTTCTCATCTCAGATTAGCAGCATCGCTGACTTTAACTTTCTTGCAATATGAGTTTTACTTTCGCCCTCTCCCTTTGTCCTGATTAAAACGATTACATTCAGAAGGCAGGCGACCGTCCACAATAGGTACAGTCACTTTGGTTTTCTTCCAGAATAGATACAAAAACATCGTAAAAAGGCACTCACCTCCACGATCCTGTCGTTGACCTGTATTTTGCCGCAAAGATCTGAAGAACTTCCCTCACTGATACTCTTCACGAAGATACCACTCAGTTCCTCTGTGGAAAGAAAATTTATTTCATAATTATTGCTGAACCCACTTTGTTATATTGTATTAAACACCCCCTGTATTTTACGCCAGTTTAACAATTCCAGTTCGTGTGGTCCAATAGTCCAGTAGTCCGTGTGGTGGCGGATTAAAAATACGGAATGTCACCACCCCTATTCACCCCTTGGGTGTCGTACGAGCCGACTAAGGGGGCAAAATACGCAGGACAACGGCACTGCAAAGAGAAGGAAAACTTGAAACAAACCCTATATCAACCCAGATGGCGAATTGTTTGAGAGGGTTCTTTCTGCCCGCATCGTCCGGCACCTCTGCGAGGTGGGCCCCGATCTGTCGGACGCCCAATTTGGTTTTCGGGCGGGGCGTTCGACGGTCGACGCCGTGTTGCGCCTGAGGGCCGTGACCGAAGAGGCCGTGAGCTGTGGCGGCGTGCTGTTGGCGGTGTCACTGGACATCGCCAACGCATTCAATAGTCTGCCATTCAGCTGCATCAGGGAAGCACTCCACTATCATGGGGTGCCAAAGTACCTGAGGCGGCTAGTGGCAGACTACTTAGAGGGGCGTACCGTCGTGTACGAGGACCGAGAAGGTAATTTGAGGAGTCGGCCCATGTCGTGCGGTGTTCCACAGGGGTCTGTTCTTGGACCCCTCTTGTGGAACATAGGGTACGACTGGGCCCTTCGCGCCGATTTCCCCCCCGGGCTGGGTGTAATCTGTTACGCAGACGATACCCTCGTGACAGCCCGGGGGGCAAACTTCCAAGAGGCGGCGCGCCTGGCCACAGGGGGAGTCTCCCTGGTGGTCGGGCGCATTGAGGCGCTGGGCTTACGGGTGGCCCTAGATAAGACGGAGGCCCTGTTATTCCATGGGCCCCGTCGTGGTCCACCCCCTGGCGCCTCAATCGTGGTCAACTCGGTCCTCGTACCGGTTCGGGCCCAGATGAAATATCTGGGCCTGATCCTCGACGGGAGGTGGCTCTTCGACGAGCACTTCCGACAGCTTGCTCCAAAGCTGGTCGGCGCTGCGTCTGCCCTAGGGCGACTTTTGCCCAATATGGGTGGACCCAGCGTCGCGACAAGACGGCTGTACACGGGGGTTGTCCGGTCAATGGCACTGTACGGTGCACCGGTGTGGGCGGCGGCTCTGACCGCCCAGAATAGGGTACGCCTCTGGCGCCCTCAGAGGGTAATGGCGGTCAGAGCCATACGCGGTTACCGCACCGTTTCGACGGAGGTGGCATGCGCATTGGCCGGAACTCCCCCGTGGGATTTGGAGGCGGAAGTGCTCGCCGAAGTTTATCGGCGAGTGGCTGACTTCCGGGCGGAGAGCGGATTTCGCCCTCCGCCCGAGGATGTGCGCGAGTGGCGCGAAGCCGCTCGCCGAGCCACGATGGCTCGTTGGTCGTTCCGGCTGGAGACTCCACGCGCTGGCTTCGCCGCCGTGGAGGCTCTCCAGCCGGTCATCGCCGAGTGGGCAGGGCGGCAGCACGGGACCCTTTCCTTCCGACTGACGCAGGTGCTTTCCGGGCACGGTTGCTTCGGAAAGTACCTGCACACGGTCGCTAGGAGGGAACTGAGTCCCGCCTGCCACCACTGCGACTGCAGTGAGGACTCGGCCCAGCACACGCTGGCGGTCTGCCCCGCATGGGCGGCGCAGCGCCGGGCCCTCACTGCAGTCATCGGAGTGGATCTCTCGCTACCGGCCGTAGTACGCTCCATGGCCGGTAGCGACAGTTGTTTTACCGCGGTCGCAACCTTCTGCGAGGTAGTAATCTCGCGGAAGGAGGCGGCGGAGAGGGCCCGGGAGGACGACCTCCACTCGGACCCGATCCGCCGCCGGCGAACCGGGCGGCGGAGGCCCGCCTACCACAGCCTCATGCCGCCCTGAGTGTGGCCGCGGGTGGACGGGGTGGGTTTCCCCTCCACCCGCATTAGTTGGCCAGCCGCGAGGGGGCGGCGTCCGCGTGTGCCGGACGTCGCCTAAAGAGAGGAACATCTACATTGAGACGGAGCCCGCACCAGGAGCGGGCTGGCGCTAGGAGGGGTCCGGATGTCTTAACAACAGCTGTTCCCGGATCCCTCCTGTTACAGGCGCAGAGTGGCACACCGTGTGGTTTTAGTCGGTCCGAGTCCGACACACCACCCCGCCGCAAACCCCGGAGGGGTGACGGTCCGAGGGGATTTCCACACGTTAAAAAAAAAAAAAAAAAAAAGGGTTTGTTGAATGGCCAGCTTGGTATAGTGGGCCAAAACCTCCTTTCTAAGGAGAGGCCTATGTCCAGTAGTGGACTGTTACAGGCTGTTGATGATGATGATGATGAACAATTCCAAGACCAAACCTAAGACTTGTGTGGCAGAAAATTGTGTACTTTTGAATAATTGGATTTAGTCTTTTACTGTAAGTAAGGCTTGGCCTACCGAACTATTGTTTGCACTCCTCTATCCAGCCGTTTAAGCAATATCCTTTCCCTCTCATTGCCCTCCCTTTATACCTACTCTTTTTATATTGAACTCTCAATTTTCCCAGCTTATTCCTAAAGCACCATCTAATTATAGTCGGCAAAGTGGGTCCTAATACGCCTCTGTATAACCCTTCGGATAAAATAATTATTATTCTTCAATGTCAGACATACGTTCTATCTTCTGCTGACTACACGTTTTCTTAAAAACGCCTTAAAGATATTCAAGGAGGTTCCACCTTACTGAACATACAAAGGCCAAATTTAGGCTTTAATCTTTTAAATGGTCGTATCAAACCCCTCCCTCGGTATCTGAAAAGGTATCTTAATAGATTCCTCAGAAATTGTCTTTTTGTGCACATCGCTGTCTTACCAAAGCTAATATGTGGCGTTTTTATACTGTATTTTTATCCATTAAGATATATTTTATGACGATGAGTATGAAAACGAAGTTGTGTGCGTTTCTTGAGTTATATAATTAGGTCTTAAACCTTCTACAAAAATATAGTTTCAAAATCGTAAGTCTGGAATGACACAGAAATATAGTGCCAAGATAATAAATCTTGAATTAATAAATGTGTATTTTTGTTTGTTTGTTTCGCTAAAACTAAAACACGTTTAAAGAAAAGTTTCATTATTGATGTACAAACTACAATCATAGCGACTCGTCAAATCAAATCATAAACTTAGGCTAAAATCCTAGGGGTTTATAAGTAGGCACTCAAAAAGCTGTTTTTTTTTAATGAAAAAGTAATATATCCTCCTGAATATATCCTGTGTCACGGGGGACTTTACAAATATACATGAAACGGAAACAAAGAAAACCCAGACTCAAGACAACAATTTCTGGATCACACAAAGTGTTGTCCCATGTGGGGTAACCCGCAATACTCGGCGTAGTAGGCGACCGCTTAAACCACTACGCCATTCGTGCAGTCAAAGTTTATATCACATCTACTCTATCGTATCGGTGACCGCGTTCAGCTCACTGAAATCTTCACCATTCACAGCGCCGAACGCGGTCTCTGCGTTAAATTAGTAGATGTGAAATAAATCCGAACTAGAATCTCAGATCCGATTTAGGAAGTTCAATTATTTAATTGTCATTCATACTACATAGGCATACAAAGTTTCTTTTCGAATATTGATACAGGTTAAAATTTAGTTAAAAGATTTGTTTACAAGTAACAAATGAAGCTAATAAAAGCGTGATACAAATTTTTACTCTTGCGATTTATATTTGAATGAAGAAAAACTACTGTTTTCGAAAGATACCTTAAAGAAAAAGCCGTGTGGTGTCGTGGGACACCCGATAGGAACGAAGTTGTGACGATCGAGTAAAACTGATTTGACACGATTTTAATTACAACGCCATCTATGAAAGCGGCTATTACCTACATATTAAAAACAATTAAAACAATTTATACATTGGTAAAATCTCCTTGCGAAATGATTTCCGATCGATAGATGGCGCTGAATGTCTGACAAGATGACACGAAAATAAAGAGCAAAAAGCCAACATCATGTGGTATTCCAAGGCGGTCACCCATCCAAGTACTAACCACGCCCGATGTTGCTTAACTTCGGTGATCGGACGAGAACCGGTGTATTCAACATGGTATGGACGTTGGTGAACTTTAAAGCAAATTTAATGTATGGTATCCACAGTTAGACGTCAATTTATATTAATAAAAAAGTGTCGTTCCAAATTTTCGTACGAATTTTTTCCGTCTAGCCCCCTTTCACAACGCGCGGTAAGGAACTTCGTTCCAATAAGATAAAGGTAAAACCTTAACTCAGAAATCGGTAAAATCTACATCAGGTTTTTAGCAGGATTCTTTTCTATGGGTTGCGATGCAAACCTTAACCTTAAACCTGTCTGGTGACAGCCGACTGGTCTATGTTAGACCTTGCAATAGGGATATATATATATTTTTTTCTTTTTTAAAGACAACTCCTGCATTAGGAATAATAGTATATTCTGTGTCGCGGAGGACTTTACAAACATACATGAAACGGACACAAAGAATACCCAGACTCAGAACACAAAGTGTAGTTCCACACAAAGTGTAGTCCCATGTGGGGATCGGACCCACAGCACTTAGCGTAGTAGTAAGCGACGTGGCGACCGCTTAAACTACTACGCCATCCGTGCAGTCAGAAAATGTCATCAAGGTCATCTCATATCTGTTCTTCAAGAGTCTTAGTTTTATAAAATTATTATTGTTTTGTGTGCTATTGACGTTTAGAAAGCCTAGTCAGTTAAGATTATTTGAGTTTAAAAGCAAGCAAAAGTTAGTTGTTGCTTGTGCTTGACTGTAATATTCGCAGGCCCCAAGGCATTGTTCGCCTAATATCGTAAGTTTCTAAGTAATACATCAACATGGTTACTAAGTAATACATCCTTAAACAAGGTTAAACCACTTAAGAAAGCATTTAAAACCCAAATACTGCAAGTCAATTCAACTTAAATCCACTATTTACATGGAAACACAGCCACAAAGGTTTACCCAGCTACCCTCCTCACTTAGTTACCCTTCATATATCAACGCGATAAGGGTTCAAGTTTACTACTACTAATAATTTAGTTTAGGTACTAAAAATAAACTACTAAAAATTTAGTTTAGGTAAATCAAGACGATAAATTGGGATGCGATATTGTCTCTGTGCGAGTAGTAAGAGAGTTTGAGCTATCTATGCCTTATATTTAAAAACGGTAAAAAAAGTCTTCTGCAGATTTTGGAATCACGGAGTTCTTAAATTAAAAATAAACAGCTAATCGATCTTTAATTGTTTTTAATCGAGACGTTAATCAGGATATGTTTGCCGCTAAGATAAAGAAATATCATAGATGGATTATATTTTAGTTGAACAAATTTACCATCAACGTTGTTCGTTCCTCTAATGCCAACATTGCGTGTGATAAAATGAGATAGCAAGAGCCGATCGTGCACGTCTCGAAGCCGTGCGCGCCACCAACCGATGACAGCTATATTTGTTTGTTAACCAACTGGTTGATAGTGACGGCTAAAGAATTTTCTGAATTATTGGTTTTCTGTATATAATAAATCGGACTGTGCTTATCAGATCGTATTAATTATTTTAAATGGCGTGTACCGTTGCCGGCTGTTCAAGTCGATTGGGTGTTTTGACGGAGAATAATGAGAATGTATCATTCCATCGGTAAGTCATGCTCTTGATTTATGTACTTTTCGAAATTAAATCGTAAATACTGAAACGTTATATCATAATTAAAATCAATTATTGTTAGCTTAGAAATGTTTTTCACCTGAATTTAGCGCCTATGTTGTCTTGTTTTCATAAAATATTATTTTATTTACTTTATAGTGTTGTAGGTCCAAAATTCTTAATCCCAATATCGATAAAAAACTTTGGGGCTTTTTTATTTTATAAAAGCTGTGTTTTTACAACACCAAACTTTAAAAATAATAGAACCTTACCTACTTACGTTTCCGATTTTTGCAGATTTCCGGCTGACGTCGACTTGAAAAAATTATGGGTTAAAAATGTAAGGAAAGGAGATGAATGGAAGCCCACACAGTATACCAGGATCTGCTTTTTACATTTTGATAAATCTTGTTTTCGTGAGGGTTATGGACGAAAAACCCTACATTCGTACGCAGTACCAACAATATTTCCTAATCAACCATTATCGCGTCGACCAGTGAGTGCAAAACAATTATAATTAAAATAACGTTTAATCAAGGTGTAAGTAATTGGTGTTCATAATAACAACATGACTGTATGTATATTTTCAGAAATTACCTACAAAAAGAAAACTTATACCGAAATATGGCGAGACCTCTGCTGCGAGAAAAGACGAGCAACGGGTACGTCGATTTTTATATGCAATTACACTTCTTAAATTTATATACACATTATAGTTTTTTTTTTTTTTGCGTAGAAGCTTAACGTTTTCTATTCTCTTCCAGCTCCACGGCTCTCTTCCAAAAATATAAAATAAAAAAAATAAAAAAATATACAGAAAATATTGACGAAAACGCTATGACGAACTAAAGTGCTGCAAACTAATATAGTGTCTTAACAATTCACTGAATGTACAAAAGGCTACCGATAAAGTAAATGAATTTCAATATTACCTCATCATCGGCAAGCCCGTAACATCATAGGTATGTATCACGTCATGCAGTTCAAGCCGCCGTCTAAGTACAGTTATTAAAAACACAGCTTATAATTTTCATTACATTTCGCCTTGCCACTTGCCTTCGTTTAGGTGCGCCTTGTCGTTCTCCGCACCTCTGTCACTGCGGAGAAACTGTTGACAGTATCAGACATCACAGCCTTCTTGTACCAGAAGCGCTGGCCCTATATCTCAACATGCCAATATTCATGACATTATCCTTTGTGCTCTTGTTATCAGCGGTGTTCCAGCTGTACATGAACCCAATGGTCTCATACGAGGCGATGGAAGATGGGTAAGCCTTTTGAGTAAGACGCAACTTGCGTCGACACTCTCGCGCCATCATATCTTCGAGGCACAGCTGGTTTTGCCACCGCTGCTGCTACATCCGCAGGAAGCCTCAAATTTCGTAAATACCAAAACTTGGTAGGTAACTAAATTTTTGAATAGTCATCCTCTATATAAACAATCAGCTAAGCAACTGATCTACACTTATCGGGACCAGAAGGTCAGCCTTTTTCTATTATAGAGAATTAGCGTTGTCATTCAACGTGGCAATGATGCCAGTCTTCTGGAAACGCTGCCAGTAGGCGATGACGCGGAGTATTTTTTTGACGCTTTATTGTAAATATTTTAATTTTATTATATTAGTTATTTTAAGTCATATATAAAAGTCTGTTAATAATTATGTAATCTAAATACAAAATATAAAAACTTTCTTGTTATTAACCGTATCAAGTATAAAATGCGAAAAATTATGGGTAAAACCAGTAGTCTACATTTTTAACTACTCGATTAAAAACGTAGTATCGTAGGCCTTACATTTATAAATTCCACACGTAAAAAGTATAGGTATTAACTAGTACATAAATATAAGTACAGAATTACATATCATAGTCATATTAAAAATTCAATGTATAACTAAATAATGTGATCGTGTATGTATGCACTATTTTATCGATATAAATTAAACACTTCACTGGCACAGCACTACTGAACAAATATCAATTGATAATATTGTACTGTCAATTTGGAGACATTTTATGTTTCGAACCACTAGAGAAATGATCACTATCTCTTTCTGGCTTACGCAACAATCTGTTAGTATGAAAAAAGACAACAATAGCTTTTTCGAGCTTGCTTAAAATAATCCATCTAGGTATTTCTTTATCTTAGGTTTGCCGTGATCATGAGCGATACAATTCCTTCCTAATGTCAGGCAACTAAAAAAGGTTTTTTACCTTACAAAAATGATTGAGATCTAGCCTAGATTGAAACCCCTTATGCAATAGATCTTTGATAGATTTGTGCAAGTGTGTATATTGTTGTCACCACTATTGGTGTAAAGTTAAATTCTCTACATAACAGTAATTATGATGTATTTTCAGCAGGACCAGTGGCGTACCACCACCAGTAAAACTAGTCATAATAAACAGTATTTTTACCTTTTTATTAAACAGCAAAAAAGTTATCTTTTACAGTTGATAAATATTTATAAATTGTTACTGAAAACTACTAAAATATACCATTTTTTAATTGTTTTCGTTCTAAATTTATTTCTATCTGTTTTGAATTTTCTTCCAGACCAACACGAATTTCTCCTCAGGATCAATTGATAAATAGTTTTTTTTAATGGTATAAGGGGGCAAACGAGCAGACGGTTCACTTGATGGTAAGCAACTACCTGGTAACATAGAAATTAAATTTATCGAAATCAGTAATTTTCAACTCCCAACGTTGTAAATCGTCCTGACTAAACGGGATCAAACTCGAAACATAAGTAAGGGCTTTAATTTCATCCTACCCTCAACTATATTAGAAAAGTTTGGAACACGTGACTTTGTTCTTTAGGTCGTACCCGCGGCCATATTGTTTATAGATACTTGTGTACACCCGGCTACAAAAGTATTACTTATTGTTGGGAAAGAATTTAGGTTTTTTGTTTTCTCATTGAAATTATGAGTGATATTAAGAGTCACAAGTGCCTGCCCCCCTTGAGTATACCCTCCCCCAGAATGGAGAAAGATTTGGCCTTCGGTAACCTTATTCACTCAGTGAAAAACAAAGAAAGAAATTGCTTAACAGAGGTTTTTTGGTAGGCCGTAGTATTAATCCGGTCGAGCTGGTCAGAGCATGACTTTCCCACAGTAAAAACAGGTTACCCATCCAAGCCCCAATAACTTTGAAAACAGGTCTTAGCTTAAACTTATCATCATGATGATAAAAATCCTTTGATGATCAACTGCTGCACATATGCTTTTTCTTAGAAAGGAGGTTTAGGCCTACTTTTGTTTGCTTCAAGTTTTCCTTCTCTTTGCAGCTTAAACTCATTTTCCCTTAAATCCCAAGTATTTAACTAATCACATGAATTCGAAAAAAAACCTTTCCATTATTAAATACCGTCTTTATATTATTATACCATTTGCGAGTCCTTTGTACCTTTGCTTAAAGATATTTCGTGCATCAAGGAATGTAATTTGATATATATTTGGCTTTATATTAGTAAGCTTAGCAAATGATTCAAGTGGTCTCTTAGGTAGTTAAAGTTAAAATCATATAATAGTAATAAGCTTGTAAATTGTTTATTTTATATATTATTATATTTTATTCTTTGTTTTATATTTGTTCAATAAAGTGTTAAAATCACATTGATGTTTTTTCTAATTTTGGATTTACATAGTGTTACTCCATTAAGCATGTTATGACGCCTTAAAATGTTGCGCTTTAATCATAATATAATAGATGCATGCTTTAGATTTCAGTAAATAATGTTACAACTACTGGCTGTCCAATAAATTAATTAATAAAAAAATAACGTTGTACAGCAAGATGTTGTTTTAAATTTTTTGTATCATAAATTTAAAAGATTTGTAGAACTGCCTTAAAAACTCTCATTTTAAGTTAAGTTATAATTCCCAATCTATAAAAAAACAGTTCTTGAAGCCATTTCTATAAAATTTTCTTTCTTTTTAACTTCAATCGAAGTTTGTTGAATCAAATGCAAATGAAATTGGTTTTCAGTATCACGGGATCGCATTGGCAGCTCTGAAATAAAAAGCACTGAACTTTCACTGACTTTATTTTCATTAAAGAGATCCCGCTTTACTCTAAGCTCCAAATCCTTTGCATTGAAAATTTATTTTGTCAAATCCAAATTATAAAAGATAAACGGATACACATTTCAGGGATGCCCGAATACTTTAGGACCCAACGGAGGACCTTGGTGGACCCAAGGGGAGAAGTAACCTTTGTCGTCGGTGTTGGTAAAAACGGCTGGACCAATTTTAGATATTTTTAGTACAGTATCAATAAGAACACAGACTGAGAATACAAATAATTGATTCACTGGAAATCGAACTGACAACACTTAGAGGGCAGGTAACCTTAAAACTATTTCACTAAACGTCTCACATTAATGTTATCGTACATCTGCCTATTTTTGGGAATTCTCACCTCACTCATGAAATGGCATTGCTAAACTAGGATTCCACAAATATCTGCCTACAGCGGTTCGTCGAGTAACGGGCGGAGGGTTAAAACTTTTTGTTTATAACTTCAGTAGGTTACACCTACATCGGTGGTCGTTCTCTTTACCGTGGGATCCTTGATGCATATATGAGGCGCAAATGAGCTGACTAGACCAGAATGAAAGCTTCACAGAAAACCGGTGTTACATATTTCTTTCGTTCACTGAGTGAGTGAGGTTACCGGAGCTCAAAGCACTTCGTCCCTCTAATACTGGGAGAATGACTGAAAAGAATGTACTTTTTGAGATGGGGAAAAACCGTTGAACTCGCTACACTGTTACCGTTACCGACACCTCTGTATATAAGTATCTACAAACATTGTCCCCGTTTACACGAGAGTTGAGATCGGCTTGAAATACATGGATAATATAAATATATACGACTATAACATAAACATATATTGTGTATAAACATACAACATACATACGACATATTAATGTCGAAAGTTTTTGAATTGAAAGAAACAAAAAAAAATACTGTTTTGATGAAAAAAATCTAGTTTTCACTTCTATCGGCAGTCCCGGAGTGCCACTGAGTTTTTTTACGTGATAACTTGCAGTTTCTCGCTAACATTAAGTCTGTCACACATCACATCACATCAACAGCCTTTGATAGTCCACTGTTGGACATAGGCCTCTTTTTAGAAAGGAGAGGCCTACGTCCAGCAGTGTATGCCTGTAGTGCATAAATAAAGAGCCTCCGTACCAATATATTAGACGACAGCTATAAATGTCTGCGTTTATTATAGAAGTGGCTGAAATATTTCATGCAGAATAACAGGTTGTCAAAACTTACATCTAAAGTTTTGGAATCCCCAGAAGACTAATATTTAAAAATTATTGAAGGGTTTTTAGAACTTGAGTTGAAGTAGGAGAGTCATGCTTCAGCACAAATGGGTCGGCTGGACAGGAGTGCTAGCATTGTCTTACAAAAAAACCTGTGTTACGCAATTCTTTGTTTGCTTTTCACCAAGAGAATGAGATTATTTTACTTATTTATTAAAACTTCCTGCAAACATATATATATATATTGTGTGTATGTATATATATATATATTAGACTTGCAACGAATATTCGGTTACTATTCGGTATTCGGCCTATTCGGCTGCTTTTATTATATTCGGCCGAATACCGAATATCTACATATTATACGGCCGAATAATAATAATAATAATAAACCTTTATTAATTCTTGTTTTACAATAGTTGGTAAATATAATATTACAGTAAACACAAATTTGGTTTTAGTAGTAAGTTAGCTTAAATTAGGTTAGTAATAGAAGTATGTGTTTAAAATATTTATAAATTAACAGGAATCCCGGTTTGGGTGAAGGCCTCCTCCAAAGATGTCCATTTTTGTCGATCTTGTGCTACGGAGCGCCAGTTTATGCCAGCTACTCTTTTCAGATCGTCTTCCCAGCGGGCTAAGGGTCTCCCCTTCCCCCTCTTGCCTGGTGGTCCTTTCCACTGTGTAACTCGTGTAGTCCACCTTCCGTCAGACATTCTTGCTACATGGCCAGCCCAGTGCCATTTCATTTTTAGAGCAAAGGTCAAAGCGTTTGTGACTTTAGTGATGTCTCTTATCTTTGTGTGTCTTATTTTGTCCATTCTCTTTATGTTTAGCATACTTCGCTCTAAACCTCTTTGACATGTATTAATTTTGTTGATAACTTGTGTAGAGAATTTCCAGGTCTGGCTTCCATAAGTTAAGCTTGGTAGTAGACATGAGTTCATAACTTTAGCTTTGAGAGTTATTGGTAGGTTATTTTTAAATATTTCTTTTAAGCTCCAGTATTTATTCCAGGTTTGTTGAACCCTTCTCTCTATTTCTATGGTGTTGCTGTTTTTCTCGAAACTTATTCTTTTCCCCAGGTAGATATAATTTTCCACATATTCTAAGGGGTTACCGTTAATAGTAATAGGTCTTATTCGTGTATTAGTCATTGTCTTAGTCTTCGTTAGATTCATTTCCAATCCAACTTTCGCACTCGCTTGATGTAGAGATTTTATCATGTTTTCCATCTCGTTGGCTGTCTCTGATAGAAGAATCAGGTCATCAGCAAACCTCAGATGACTTAGGTAGGCGCCTTTTATGTAGAGTCCTGTTTTACTCCAATTCAACTTTTGAATGATGTTTTCGAGGATGGCTATGAAAATAGTGGGTGAGAGCGGGTCCCCTTGTCTTACGCCTTTTTCTATATGGAAGGCGGGGCCTGAGGTTTCGAGCCTGATTCTTCCTTTGTTGTTATTGTATATACTTTTAATCACATTTATGTATTTATTTGGCACTTCTTGTTCTTTTAAACTTTCCCATATACTTGTATGTGTGACCGAATCGAAGGCTTTTTGGTAATCAATAAAAGTGATGTAAAGAGGTCTTTGGAACTCATGATATCTCTCTATAATTAACTCGATGGTGTGGATGTGGTCGATAGTAGAGTACCCTTTCCTGAAGCCTGCTTGTTCTACAGGTTGTTTTGCTTCTATTATCGGGCTTATTCTACTATTTATAATCGATGAAAAAAGTTTGTATATATTTGGTAACAAACTAATTGGTCTATAGTTGCTAATATTTTTTGGATCGCCCTTTTTATATATAAGTATGATATCTGCTTCTGACCATTCTATGGGCGTTACAGAACTTAAAAGTATAGAGTTAAACAGCTCAGTTAGTGGTACTGCTAAAATTTGGTGGGCATATTTAAGTGATTCGTTTGTGACATTGTCAGAACCCGGGCTTTTTTCGAATTTCAGTTTATTTATTGAGTTCATTACTTCGGTTTCTTGGATTGGTTGTATAGGGTGACAGTCTACTGTTTCTATTTCAAGTTTATTGGTGGTTAGTCGTCTTTTGTCTGTATAGAGTTTCTTGTAGAATTTAGTTGCTGTTCTGACAATATCCGTTCGGTTATAGAGGTCTCTATTAAGGGTTTTCAGTTCTTCTATCCAAGAACGGTTTGTTCTGAGTTCTTTGTATGCTCTTTTTGAGCTACCGTAAAGCTGGAGGTTTTTCTCTATTGTTTCTTGTCTATATTTTGCGTAGTCTCTCTTCATTTTTCAATGAGCGTGTTTTATTTTTAGTTTTTTGTAGTTCTTGTCTTCTTTTTAATAGTTTTAGTGTGCGTTCTTGTAGTATTTTATGGTTTTTATTGTTTTCTATATTTGTTTTTGCAAGGCTCAAGCTTTGTTGGATGGCCTTTTTTATTTTTTCGTAGGAGATTTGCACCGGATTGTTCTCTTGGTCGACTGGTTGATTTGATGGCTCCAAAAGAAAGCTTGATAGGTTTTCTTTGTATTTTGTTATTTCATCTTTGTTTTTGAGTTGACTTATTTTATTATTTGTGAACTTGGACCTATTTTTCTTCTGCGTGGTAAGCTTAATTTTACACCTAACAGGACGGTGGTCTGATGTGTAGTTTAGATTCAAAACTTCTATATTTTCGAATAGTTTTGGGTGATTTGAGAGGATGTAATCGATCTCGTTTTTGTACTGGCCGTTTGGTGACCGCCAAGTCCATCTGCGGTTTTGTTTTTTCTTGAAACAGGTGTTTATAATTGTTAGCTCATGTTCTAGCGCGAAGTTAACAAGTCTCTGACCTCTATTGTTTCTTTCTCCATTTCCGTATTGTTTCATAACCAGATATTCGTTTTCTTTGGGGGGTCCAACTTTTGCATTGAAGTCTCCCATTAGAATGGTGTGTGTATGTGCTGTTTCTAAGGTCTTTTCTATGGTTTTATAGAATTCGTCGATTTCGTGTTCGTTTGCTGCTTCTGTAGGTGCGTATACTTGTATTATTGTTATCTTGTTACCTGAAAAATTCATGTTGAGAGTTGCTACTCGTTCTGTTGTTCCTATAAAGCTCTCTATATTCTTTTTCCGTGACTTTCTTTCATTCTTCTAGTTCTAATAGTCGGTCGTATGACGACAGGGTTCTGACATTGTAAGTTATAATGTTTAAGGTTGAATTTGAGTTTGGGTTTTGTACCTTTGGAGGGTTTTGGTCGTAATCTTCCACGGTGACCAGCCGGGTTGGGAGATTTTTTGTGGTTTTTATTGAAGTTTGCTTTTGTGTGGTATCTGGGTGAAGAAGAGAGGGGGTTAGTTGCTATGCATTTTTAATCGTAGTATTTTTATTTGTCAGGAAGTTCAACATGCTTGGTTTTATAACTGCTTCGGTGACACTGTTTGACCTTGTCACCTTAATTTTTGAGCCAGACTGTTGTTGTTTATTCTTTTTTGTTTTATTTCCTTGGATATGAATGTTTTCAGGTGATATTGAGAGATTTCTCTTGTGTTCTGTGTTCCTGTTTTTGTCTAGTATTATAAGTTTATCGTATTTTATTATGGCAGTGTTTCCCTTTTCTCTTTCAATCTTTATTTGCTCTTGTAATTCTTTTCTTTTAATTAAAATGTCCCGCGGATAGTCTTCCTTTATGTAGTATGTTGTGTCTTTCAGTGCAATTTTTTGTTTAAATATATCGATTTTTAATCCTAGGTTAGAAAAAGTGACAACGATTGGTCTAGGTCTTTCTCCTTTTTTTCCAATTCTCTTTATTTCTTGTATGTCTCTTCGTTCAATGTTTAAATCAAAATATTTTTTGATAAATTCAACCAGTTTATTTTCCAAGTTTGAGTATGATATCTCTTTCTCTTCTATTCCGAAGAATACAATGTTTCTTTGTCTTGCTTGTTTTTCCAAGAAATAAAGACGTTTTTCTT